AACAATGCATCAGAAATGGTGGGGGCTTGAGCTAAAGCTCTGTAGGGAAGATGGAGAGAAAGTCATGGATGCCAAAGCTGCCAAGGAAAATTAACAGCTCCACAACAAGGTGATTGGTTGGATGTGAGGGTTGAAAGAGAGAAAAGTGTCCAGGGCACTGCCAGATTCTCAGGTTGGGATGATGAAGGGATGTTGAGGGCATTACTGAGACAGGAATTCAGGGTGGGGACAGGATTGAAGGCTAAGATAACAGAGAGATCCAACTGCCTATGGGACATTCATTCTCAGGCACCTAAAATGTAGCAAGGTGATTTCAGTTGGATTTATGATGCCAGGCCAAAAGACAGAAGGCTGGATCTGTATTTCAATGTTTCCAGCTTATAAATAGCAGTTGGACTTTAGAGAAGAATAAGAATAAGGACTAGCTGTGCGATAGTAATGCATGTTGCACATTTTCTCAGTCCAATAAGCAGCCTGAGTGTGGATGAGCTTCCTCCAAACACCACAGTTGCTTTAGACCTTGGGCTCTCTTGGCTCTGTGTGTTGCTACTATGTTATTTACAAACACATTCAGTACTTAATAAATCTCTATAAATTTGTCTTTATGTTTTTATAAACTCATTTGATCAGAAGGAAAAAATGATTTATCTATTCTATAGAGATTTCTATGAATAAAACCACTGGTCTAGGAATAAAAATGTCCAGGCTTCATTTTTATTTTTGCTGGTAACTTGTCTATAATATAGGAAAAATCCCTTTCCCTCCCTTATTGTCAATATCTGCATCTATAAAATTATGGGATAGGACCCCTTCCAGTTGTAGTATTTTATACTGTCTATAACTTTCAAAAGGGAAGCATATCTCTCACTGGAAGTTTTAACCAGTAGTTTACAATTCTTTAAAAATATCCAGTGTGCAAAACTCCTCCTAATCCAGTGCAGTCTAATGTAGTAAAGGAGAATTTCTCTTTTCTGCCTAGTAATTTTCTCAGCAAGAGGATTTAATTGTTATGTGGATTCTGAAAATGAAGATGGGCTAGAATCTGCATTGTACCTCAGATAAATAGTGATCCCAAAATAGCATGTTTGTATAACTAAAGAGGAGAGAATGGACTGAAAATGGGAAACAGCTAATTCCTGCAAAGGTGCTGCTTGGGAGTTTTTTTTTTTTGAGAGAACTTCTGACTAATGTACAATTTATTCATTGATGTTTATTTATTTGGTTTTTTTTTTTTTGCTAGGGGGAAAAATAGTTTTGGTGAAATTTTTGCATCTAATAATAAAACCAGAAGACTTGCAACAGTGTTTCTTTAAATATCCTTCATTAATTTCCTGTCTGTTTACACCGAAAAAGGAAACTAGGCTAGAACTTATTAATTGTTCATCTATACCCAGAGATTAAATATATAAGCCTCACTGAAAGAGTTTTTTGATGCATATCTAAGAAATATTTGTTTTATAAATTTAGTATGGTATATCTCTATGATATTAAAAATGATTAACTAGATCATCTAAAAAAGAAAGAATGAAAGAAACAAAGAAAGAAAGAGAGAAAGAAAGAAGAGATGCTGTTCCAAAAACCTCAGCCTCCACCAGTTGAAGGCTTTCCTTTTCAATTATGTTCAGTATATTTGAAAATACATATAAATAAGTAGGTTAAATTTATGTCAGTAATATTTTAAGCAGTCATTTTTAAAATATCAAAATGGACATCTTAGTTTTCAAAGGGAACAGCTTTTGTTTGACCTAAAGTAAATGTTATTGAAATCTTTTCTGAAATTTAACTCCATTTCATCTCATTTTTATCATGATTTTGTAACGATTTAAAAGCTGGTATGATTTCTAATACATTTGTGTTTGATTAACCCAATTAATTTCATGAACTACGCATGCCTTCCTTGAACATAGTGAAGTGGCCCACATGATGACCTGAGAGGCAACGGCAAGTAACACCGAAAACCAGTTCTGTGTTCAAACGTCTGAAAAGTAAAAATATGTCTTTACCACAGCACTTTTCACAACCCTTCTATGTTAATGTGCACTTTGAATCTTTAAAGAGAATTTGCATATCCAAATTAATTTGACCCTACCAGCTTTTCTTTCCCCACAGATCATCTCTTGTGATTAATGAACTGCAGAATACATAACGGCTGCTCTTCAGCCTCTAAAATCTATCCTTGAGTTAACTGGCCCAGCAGAGAGCTACCGTGGCACATCCCAGACCCCTAAGTTACATTTAGTGAATTGGCTTTGGCATGATATAAGCCCCCCAAATACCGACCAGTAAAAAGCCTCATATGTGTGGCTGGTTTTTGTAAGGATGGCGGATAATGCTGTACATAGATGGTCTTCTTCATGAGGATTCATGGGAGCGATTTCTCTCAATTCTCAGCCTCAAGTTGCGGCTTCGTTTATATGCTTCAGATGCAGTGAATCCGAATTTCCTCTAAGCATTAGTTGTTAAACTGGCTAGAGCCAAATTTGTGGCTGCCGCTTACAAGCACGGAGCAAGAACATCGTATCTTTTGTTTTAAAAGTAACCACATTCCTGACCCCTCTCTTTTCTTTCCCCTGATTTGACTTCCCAACCAGAAAATTTTACTTCGATTGCATCTAGTCATGTTATATTTCTTTTGTAAACCATTTTACATCCTTTCTGGGTGGAGAAGAAAGGACAAAAGGGGAAGGAATGGTAGAGGCATCAATGGAGAGGAAAGGAAGAAAAAAGTACACATGTATGCTTTGTGAGATTTGCCACTTCCTTCTTCCTATGTATTTCTCAAATCTTAAAGCAAAATTAGCTGAGATATTTTTAAAAACAAATAGTTTTTGAGAAACTTATGGCAAAGTGGAAATCGATTCTAAGTATACCAAGGAACATAAAATAAGCTATACTTAGAGAAAGGTGGAAGCAAAGCGCACTGCCTGTGTTAACAGAGAAAAGGGTTTTCACTGGGCAGATGAAAGATGTGATTTCAAAGCCAGGTTCCCAAATAGAGGAGGGTCACAGATGAGAACAGGAGACTGGGAGAAGAGAGTTGATTTGTTACAGGATAGCATAATTTTGGTGGAACAAGAAGTGGGAATGAAGCAATTGGGAGAAGAAATGAAAGTTCAAACTGCATCTCTGAATCAGAGTTCATTCCAATCAGGAAAGCCAAAGAACAAAGGACTAATATTTAAGTAGTAATGTTTTATGATAATCACTCCTCGCCCATATGATACCTTGTACTTGGCCACATGTGCACCTTGTACAACTTGTAATGCACTCCTGCTGTGTCATTCCTCAATAACATGACCGTCTACTTTGACATGAGAAAGGGGAAGCATTACTCCTTTAAACTGTAGTTACCTAGGACTTCACTGACTATGCTTCTCCACTGAGCTGAAGCAAGGATATATAAACCTGGCTAGGTTTAGCTTTAGAAAAAACTTGATCACACAAGTAAGAGACTAAAAGGATAAGTTAAACAGGCATCAATCTCAACACAAGAAGAGATCTAAGTAACCAAACCTCATAAATTTTATAGGAAGAAACTGAGGGCCTCAGACAAGTGACTTGGCGGTTACTCAGCTCATGAATTGCAGTTCACATGAAGATAAACAAACAATAAAACAAACAAAACAAAACACAAAATGTAGAAGAATTTCAAGAATAAGATAAAATCCACATTTTCTAAGGAAACCCTCAAGGGCCACCCGAATGGACCTTACCAACATTCTCCAGCCTCACTGTTACCTCATCTCCAATCCTTTATACACTCACCCACCACCAAATGCCCCTTCTCCCTGCCATCACTCTCATACCTCGGTTTGACCCTGCAGCCATATTTACAATGTCCCTGACCTTTCTTTGTCATTCTTTACTTAGCTAACTTCTACTCACTCTTTAGGGTTCAGCCTCAGCTCTGTTTCATTTGGAATTTCTTCCCTGGCTTGCCTCCGTCATAAGCCCTGGTGAGGCACCCACCCTTTCTACGGTTTCCATAGCACCATATTAATCAGTGCACAGTGTGTGAGAGCATGGGTTCTGCATCAGATTGCCAGTGTTCAAATCCTACCTCTACCCTTCATTGTCCTGTGTGACTTTGGGCAAGTCACATAATCCCTCTGTGCCTCAACTTAAGCACCAAGGAAATGGGAATAATAATATATCTATCCTCAAAAAGATACTATTTTATATTAAAAGAGTTTATTTGTGTAAAGTTCTTAGAAAACTGCGTGCCACATAGTAAGTGCTCAATACATGTTAGCTACTACTATAATGATCTCCACTACTGGTCTTATGAAAAATATCTGTGAGCTTCTTGAGGCAAGAGAGAATGGCTTATTCGTCTTTGTTCTCCTGCCTCTAGCATGGTACCTGACACATAGTACATGCTAGTAAGTATTTCATAAATGAATGAGTGGTTGAACAAAGTCTCTCTATCTTTTTTTTTTTTTTGGTCATTTAGTTTGCAGAGGTGGCTTAAGGAAAGGCTTATATTTGAGAAATGGTAGTAAATTGGAGAAATGAAATAGGCCAATTACATTTTGAGGCAGATAGATCGGGCTTTATACCAAAATATTGAAGACTTCTATGAGATACTCTCCTTTATACACCTAAATCCATGGCTGTTACCAGAATCCAAATGCCGGGTCTAACAGAACAAGGAAGGGAATTTAAATTATTCATCCATTACATCGAAGTGAGCCCACTGCCTCTTCTTACCTCATGCCCAGAAGTCCTGTATCAAATCCTTCTCTTTATATACTATGAAAAGTCATTATTATTTTACTTATTGTTAATATTATTAAAAGATGATTTTAATATTAAATATTAATGTGTTATATTATCACTTATGAACTGATTAATTTATTAAATTTGATTAATTTTATATTAATGTTAAATATTAAAAGGTAGCTCAGAAATAATATTTTAAATGAAACTAATTTCAAAATCCAGTGAGAATCTGTTGACCATTTTTATAAACATTCATGTTTGAGTAAAATCTTTCCTACCTCTTTTCCACTGAATGGCCTGAGTGGATGTTTATCAGCAGGAATAAAGGAAAGAATAATGAGCTGCAAATACAACTATCTGTCCTTGTGACAGTACAAACAACAAGAACAATCTGTCCTGTGTGTTGTATTCCCATTTAAAAGAAAAAAGTCAGCTTCTATATGCTGCTGGAGCTCTGACACTGTCTCATGAATGAACTTTTGTCCTTCCCGGCCTATTGCTTGGTTTGTACATATGCGGCCTGGAGCTTTGTAACCAAATATGGAGGGTGTAGTGATCATGAAAATTAACAATAGATGTAAAGACTAGAATCTGACAACACTGACAAAGAACAAAAGACAACATATTATCTATTGTAATTTCTAGTTGGGGAAAACAAGACAAAACTGTAGCTTACTAGGATCTAGTCTCATTCAACTTGGGATTTAAAGTAAAAAAACAAACAAACTGTAAGTTATTGTCTGATTTTCTCCTTTATCAGACAAGGAGTTTTAACTTTGGAAGAAAGGCTAAGCTGATGATAAAGTAAAAATTGTAGGTGATTGATCTCCAATTTGACAATTCCCAAATCTACCTGTACACTTTTCTGCCCTCTATCACCCATCTCTTAAACTTCCATTGTGTGTTAAGTGGTCTTTTTAAGGGTAACCCCAAGGAGACATAGGAACCTATGTCCCCATGCTCCAGATAACCCTAGGGCCTAGTTGGAGATTTGGAGAGATTTACTGGAAATATCAGCCCAAACCTATGTAGTGCTTTTCAACTCAAAAGAGAGGTTTAAAGGCATATATAGAAGACTCAAAAGAGAGGATGGTTTTTGAAGATCACAGACAGGCCTCATGAAAGTTTAGAAATGGCCCCTTTAATTCTTTGGCACCGACAGGTGACTCAAACAAGGGGTTCCCGATCGTCCCTTCAGTTCCGTCTATTTTTCACCTTATTGGCCTCCTCCTCTCCACTGTCACTACTATTAGGATACTCATGATCTCTTCCAAGAACTATTTACATATCCCTACTTATTATGTGACTCTGGGTGACACAGGAATTACTATTAAACAGTTTCCTTCTCTTCATAATGGAGTTAAATTTAGAATCCACCTCAAAAGAATGATGTCCAGATTAAATTATATAAAAATGTTAAATCAAGCACATAATTAATAAACATTTGGTAACATAATAGAAATCAATATTTCTAAGGCATACTTTTCATTGCTTGATTTCATAAGAAGACTGAAAGTTTTAATTTTTCAAATTACCATAAAAGACAATGATTTTTTTGTTACTGACACAAACAACATCTATTTTTTCCCAAACAAAAGTTGGATCATGCTGGAGTAGCACAGAAGCACAAGAGAAGCACATGATCCAGTAATTGTGTGGTAAGGAAGTTTTTGAGTAATGACTTCTGGTCATTTGAAGAGCTCTAATCACAGGGTTTAGATGTTCACAGAGCAATTATCAAGAGGCCATTTACTGAAAAGGACATCTATCCTGAAAAACATTAGAAACTTCATTTATAACATTATTTCCACTAATGATGATTATGTCAAGGCAATAATAAAAGTTTTTATACCTGTTTGTAGACTTTAAGATTTAAATGTTTTAAGACAATGTGAAAAAAATTGGAATGTGTTCCCAGCTGTGTGAGTAACTAAAGATAAACAGTAGCCAAGTCTCACTGGATGACCCAGTTCTGGTAAAAGCTTCTCTTACAGTTGATGCTATACTCTTGAAAGGAGCTTAGAGTGACTATGTAGTTCACAAACTGTGCAAATCAAAATTTAAATTCTTAGCTTATCTAATAATTGATTTATTATGTGAGGTACAACAAATAGATAACCACTCTGAAATTTATTTTCAAAATAAAATGAACTCTGCATGTGTTCCTAAGTGATACAGAGAAACTCACACTAGGATGTCTTGAGGTTTTCTGAGATATTTATTTATCCTTTGTTTCAACCTGAATAGTTAGAATTAATTAGAGTAAAATAAAATTAACAAGAGCTAATTAGAATATAGATGAGATATTTCTACTTTCATTCAAAACTAAATATGTAGAATCAATTTTGTGGAAAAAAAAGTTTGCCAGGATTTACTAAATTCACGGCTGGCTTTTTTTCCCTCTGTTTGTTTAGGATAAACATAGGCTTCTTCCTGCATGTCAATACAGAATTACATTTGGCAAGCATCTCCTGTTTCCAGATGATCCTGGCAATTCATTGGTTGGGATACCGATTTTAATTAGTGCAAGTGGATCAGCAGCTCTCACTTCAGTTGATCTGAAAATCAACATGAATGCTTTTCCTCTGTTCTTCCTTCCTTCAGAAGAAGAACACCATTTTTCACCTTTGAAAATCAATAGAAGAGTTGCAGGCCAAGAACTCTATGCCAACAGAGTTCATCTGTGAACAATTAAAGAATGAAGCCAAAAGAATAGTTTGGTTCATTTTGTTCATTTTGGTTGTAATGTACAATTACTTAAAGGCATTCCTATTGAGGAGATCTAGTCAGGAAAAGAAGTAAATCACCCCTGCCAACAAAATTGCTTATCCAGGTAAATAGAAACCAAAAGTCAGTGTATGATAAAGAAGAAAGCTACCATTTGAGGAAGAAAAGCCAGGTAGTGTGACTGAGAAGTTACAAACATTTAGTACTGCCAAGAACACCAGTTGGCCCTCTTGGTAGTTTTCCACGGAGGTTTTACATTCAGGTTTTGCCCACTGACATGACCTGAACTTGATTTGCTTTCATTAAGCACTGGGGATTACATATTTTTCCAAATGCTACGGTCTAAATATCAAGTAAATTTCAAACTTCAGATGAAATGTTCTAGGCAAGTAGGTGGAACCTACTTTGAAGGTCTCTTTTAATCTTCTAATTAATTTCTGGAGTTTATTGCTTAAAGCTTTAGTCCTAGAGATTATCTTGTAAAAAGCTTAAAATTTTCTTTCTAGGGCAAGAGGATCTCTCAGGAGGCTGAATTTAATAAATTATGTTGTCAAAATGTCAATAAGCAAATACCAATTCAATGATTTTCTAATCTAAGTTATAGAAATAGAAAGCAGAATGGCGGTTTCTAGGAACAAGAAAAGGTAGAGTTGATAAGAAAACGTAAAGTTTCAGTTACGCAGAATGGGAGTGGGAAGAGCTTCTAGAGATCTGTTGTACAAAAATGTGCATATTGTTCTACCCAAGTATGTGTTTTTGTGTGTGCATATGAGTGTAAAAGTTTTTTGGTCAGCGACTTAAATGATGACAGAAATACTATGTTTGGCAAATGACAAACTTACTGAATAAGTGGTCATTGTGATCAAACGGAGGCAGAGTAAAAAGTATGTTAAAAATGACTTTAAGGTTATGATAAACAGCTCTAACAAGATAAAATGTAATAAAGTATTTATTAAATATAAACATAAACATAAGCAAAATACAAAATGTATTTTTATATTTTATACAATATGGTTATATAATATGTAGATAATATATAAATGTTATACATTAATAAAATGCCAGATACAGGTCATGGGGAGGAAGGCAGCAAATCATGCTGCCACATGTGTACCTATGCAACTATCTTGCATGTTCTTCACATGTATCCCAAAACCTAAAATGCAATAAAAAATAAATAAAATAACATAACATAAAAATAATATGTAAATATATAATCAAGTATAAAAAATGTAAATATATTAATACAAAACCCTTCCCATCAATAATCCTAGGTTCAGGATAGCTGCTTTTGGCTAAGTAGTCCTTATATGAAAAGCAATTTGATTTTGTAGTTGCCATCAAAACTTACCCAAGTAATGTGCTGAGGCTGGGCTAATAATTAATGAGCTGAGATACACGCATAAAATTTTAGAGTCCAGAACAAGAAAATAATTTTTTTCACACCGAATTATGTACATGCTAGAGGACCATTGAATTTGTGTGTACATTTCAGGGAGACATATCTACAAGGATGTTTGGCAAACTTTAATATTAAAAAGACAGAGAAACAGAAAAATGTAGATGATTTTGTGTGAAGAAGTAAACCTTCAAAATTAAATGATATACTTGAGGGACTTTTGTAAAGATCACTGGGTTTGTGAATGCTGAGAGTTACATAAATTCCTTTGCAGTTCCATAGAACAGAATGGAAATAAAAAGTGTAAAATTATATCAGTAAATAGATGCTATGGTTCTATCTACCTCACAAGTTTTGGGGAAGAAGAGGTGCTATGGTTTGAATGTGTCCCCCAAAAAATATGTTTTTGAAACTTAACCCCAGTGCCACAGGGTTGGGAGATGGGGCCTAATGGGAGGTTTAGATCAAGAGGACTCCATCCTCATGAAAAGATTAATGCACACTGTAAAAGGGCTTGAGGCTTCAAGTTCTATGTCTTTCTCTCTCCAACTATTTGCCCTTCTACCATGTGATGATGTAGCAAGAAGGCCCTCTCTAGATGCCAGCCCCTCAATCTTGGACTTACCAGCCCCAGAACAAACCAATACATTTCTGTTCATTATCAATTACCCAGTCTCAGGTGTTCTGTTGTAGCAGCACAAAAGGGACTAAGACAAAAAGAAAAGGTTTATGTAAGAGATACACAGTGTCTGACACCTGAGAGCGACTCAATGCATGGTAGCAGCTATTGTTGCTATTAAAATCATTTTGTTTATTTATGGAAGGGGGTGTGGGTATTATTTCTCAGACCCTTCTCATCAATTCTCCTACTTCTTGAATATAAATTTAACATAATTAAGTCTTCTTCAATTAATTGTTTTATATATATTAAATGCATATTATATGGCAATGAAGTAGATGAAGACAATTATCTAGAAAGCCAATAAGAATAAAATTTACTACTGCAACTATAATAATCACAGAACTTTTCCCAATGATATTTGGCCCAAGATACACTGCTCCTTATTCACTTGTCCATTAAGACTCTAGCTGAGAATTTAATCAGTTTTTTTCAGGTGAGAAGAGAAGTTCTATTTTCATTATTCCTGTGTTCTTGAATTACTTTTGGGAGCTGTTTTAGACATTTTAAATTGATGTTTCTTTCTTAAGCTAAATACTTGACAAGCTAGCACAAAGTAAATTTACCATGTTTGTTTTTGGAACCTAGTAACATTGGGACTCTGGAAGCTAGGTATTTCTGATAGAAAAGACGACTGAGGCATTCTACAAT